ATGAAATAAATGTTGGAATTATCTGACAAAGACTTTTTTTTTATATTTCTTTGGTATTTTTTCATAAGATAGCAAGTAATAAAAAAATAAAATATTTAGTATGCACGTGTATACATGGATGTACCAGTGATATTTTCTCAACAAATTCACTGATATTCTTGAAGAAGAGCAAAAACATGAGTGGAAGTTCTCTTACATTCTGTTGATTCACATAGTAAAGATCAAAGATTACTCTATGCATCTAAAAACTTCTCTCTGTAAATAAATCATTTAATATTTTTTCAAAATTTTTAAACATTGACCACACCTTAACTGTTCCAAAAACATCTATTCTTAGTTGATGAACAGCTTGCTGCCTATTACAAGCTGTTCATCAACTAAGAATAGATGTTTTTGGAACATCCTAATCTTTCCTATTTCTGCAACTTACTTTGTATTGAAAGACAAAAGTCTTACAGTAAGAGTTGTTCCCTCTTCTATAAAGTTGGGAGAGGCAAGGTAATTATGATTGAGGAATTTTGTTGTTGTTGTTTTTAATATTTTTTCACTGGAATATAGTTACTTTACAAAGTTGTGTTAGTTTCTTCTGTACAGCAAAGCAGATCAGTTATATACATTTGAATCCACTCCTTTTTAGATTTGCTTCCCATTTAGGTCACTGATGAAGACCTTAAAGCAGCTACTATAGAAATTCTGCAGCAAGCAATTATGAACACCCTTGAAACTGATGGAAAAGTAGAAAGCCTTAGCAAAGAAATAGATGAGATAAAGAAGACTGAAATGGAAACTTTTTAAGAGAAGAATATGATAACCAAAATTAAAAAACTCACTAGATGGGCTTAATATCAGAATGTAAATGACAGAGAAAAGAGCAGTGAACTTGAAGACAGAACAATAGAAATTATCCAATTTGAACAACAGAGAAAAATATATTGAAAAAGGTGTACAGAGCCTCAGGGACGATAACTGAAGTTCTGACATCTGTTGTCCTTTCTTTCCTAGGGAGGAGAACTCTTTCTACCTGTGAAAATTTCTCTCAGTACTGGGTACTGAGCAATGCCTGAGCAATTATTGCTTCAGGGATGGGATGATGTAAGCAAAATGCAGCCATTCTCCCTTCTCCTTTTTTTAAAAAAAAAAATTTTTTTCTTTTTTTGTCGAAGTATTGGGCTCCCCTGATGGCTCAGCGGTAAAAAAAAATCTGCCTGCCAAGGCAGGAGACACAAGAGACTTGGGTTTGATCCCTGTTTGATCCCTGGGTCAGGAAGATCCCCTGGAGAAGGAAATGGCAACCCACTACAGTATTCTTGCCTGGGAGATCCCATGGACAGAGAAGCCTGGTGGGCTAAGTCCATAGGGTCGCAAAAAGTTGGACACAACTTAGAGACTAAACAACGAATAGTCGATTTACAATGTTAGTTTCTGGTGTGCAACAAAGTGGTTCGGTTTCATTTATATTTATGCATATGATATCACTTATATATGGAATCTAAAATATGGCACAAATGAACTTATTTACAAAACAGAAACAAACTCACAAATACAGAAAACAAACTTACGGCTCTCTTCTCTTCTTAGGTGGTTCTCTCAGGTGGTGTTCCATTGTGTTGCTCAAGTTTTCTTGCTCAGATTTTGTAAGTGGACTCCAAAGCTCCCCCAAAGCTGTTTTTGCTCACAGATAGCTGTCTAATTATTGTCCTTTGTAGGGGGACAGAGATGGGGGTCTCCTAGGTCATTGTTTTATTGACATCATTCTGTATCCATATGTTTTGATATGTCATATTTTTATTTTTCAGTTCAAAATATTTTCTATTTCCTATCATGATTTCATTTTGACCCATGGTTCCTTAGAATTGCCTTATTTTTAATATGAATAATTTTCTAGCTATTTCATTTTATTTTCTAAAATGTGGTCACTTTGAATTTCCACCATAGTCAGTTTGATTTCAATTTATTGACATTTATTGAGACATCCTTTAATGTTCCCACCTGGCTTCCCTGGTGGCTCAGTGGTAAATAACCTTGCCTGCAATGCTGGAGACACAGTAGATGCGGGTCCAGTCCCTGGGTTGGCAAGATCCCCTGGAGGAGGAGATGGCAACTCACTCCAGTGTTCTTACCTGGAAAATCCCATGGACTGAGGAGCCTGCTGGTCTACAGTCCACGGGGTCGCAGAGAGTTGGACACGCCTGAAGTGACTGAGCACACACGCACGTGCTCTAGTGGGGAGGGGGGAGTATATTCCACAGAAATGCTGAATTCTTTATTACCTACTTATTTATTTTGGGTTGCACTTGGTCTTTGTTGCCACACTTGGGCTTTCTCTAGCTGCGGAGAGTGAAGACTACTTTCTAGTTGTGTTGAGCAGGCTTCTCACTGTGGTGGCCTCTCTTGTTGAAGAGCTCTAGGTGCAGAGGCTTCAGTAGTTGTGGCACATGGACTTAATTACCCTAAGTCATGGGGAATCTTCCTAGACCAGGGATTGAACTCATGTCCCCTGCATTGGCAGGAGGATTCTTAACCACTGGACCACCAAGGAAGTCCTGAATTCTTTTTTATATAAGTTGAGTAGTCACTTTTTGTTTATCTGTATATACAGACCCCATTCTCTCAAATATTCTATCTCTTTGCTGATTTTGTGGGGGAGGGAGCAGACATATCGTCCTATTTTATCAGTTACTGAGAGAAGGATGTTAAAACTGTCTGCTGATCAATCTTGCTTCTGGCCATGGCAGGCCAGTTTACTTAGGACCAATCCTCCCAGTAAAGCCAAAATGAGATCCCCTGGGGGGCTCTCAGTACACATCTTTGGGTACCAATCACCACCCATTTCCAGAGTGGGTTGACTCCACGCTTTGAAGCTAGATAACCAGGTGCAAAGGCTGTTTCAGTGTGTTCCTAGCACACCCCAGGGGAAATAAGAGTGTTCTTTCTGACAAGTGATTCCAGAGATTTTTCTCAACTTTCTTTTTCTCTAATCACTCAACAGTGACTAGTTCATTGGTTTTGTCCTAAGGCAATCAGCCCCTGCTTGTCCAGGAAAACATTACGGACCTGTCCTCCATTATGCATCTCACTTAATGCTTTTTCTGCACAGTGCCCCTCTCTAACTCTATTCCCCACCAGATCCCTTCCTTGAAGCACATCTTTGTCCCCTGACACAGATATACTTCTGTAAACTCAGTACAGAGGTGTTTGGAGAATGGGGTCTGTATATTCATTCATCATCAAGTTGCCCAGTGAATTTGGATAGGTTCAGTCACCTGTCAGAGCCTGTTTGTTCTCCTTTACTAATTTTGACAAACAGGATGAGATGGTTGGATGGCGTCACCGATTTAATGCACATGAGCTTGGGCCAACTCTGGAAGATGGTGAGGGACAGGGAAGTCTGGCTTGCTGCAGTCCGTGGAGTCGCAAAGAGTTAGACACGACTTAGCAACTGAACAACAACAACTTATTCTCTGCAGGCTTTATGGGCGTAACAGCACAGGTCAAAAAGGAAAAGTTGGCAAATCAGAAATGCTAGGGTCATAGAATTTAATACCAAATTCATGATCCAACCCTTTCGGCAAACTCGTCTGTTGCTATGGGAGGCAGGGGAAGGATAGGGCAGCAGGCTTTCAAGTCTTTCAAGCTCCCTTTCCTCTCCCCCCAAGTCTATATTTAATCTACTCAAGGAGGGAAAATAGCTATCATTTGGGGCACTCCAATTCCTCTCTATCCTTCAAGATAGGACCAAGAATCTCTTCTTGAAGAAAGCCTGATTACATCTACCCATACCAACTCCCCTGTCTTCTGTACTTTAATGCACCGACTGTCTGTCCATTGGCCCCTTCTTGTCATGTCTCATTCTGGTTTCTACCTGTTTGGATCATACCTCCTTCCTTGGGTAAAATTTTAACAGATAGAGTTTGTGACACCCTCATTTGTGCAGCAGCCTTGCCACCATCTTGGGCAAATGGTAGACTACCACCCTCCAAAGGTTGCTTACCATTTCTGGGAGTATTTACATATGAAAATATCCCTGTAGATGCCAAATGATTGAGTAAGTAATGGTAACACATTAGGCATTGTTCAGGAAAATAACTTGGGGAGGCCAGTGGTACTTCCCTTCATTCTAGACCGTTGGTGGACCCCCTTTAGGTAAGATTGTAATTTCATGTGTGTGCATGTGTGCTCAGCCGTGGCCTACTCTTTCTGACTCCATGGACTGTCAGGAGCCCGTCAAATTCCTCTGTCCATGAAATTCTCCAGGCAATAATGCTGGAGTGGGTTGCCATTTCCTACTCCAGGGCATCCTCCTGACCTAGGGATCAAACCCCAGTCTCTTGCATTTCCTGCCTTGGCAGGCAGATTCTTTACCAACTGTGCCACCTGGGAAGCTCATGAACTAATTAAATCACAGGCCTGAGATTATAGGAGAAAGGCTACACTAAGTGATGGGAATCTCAGAGGAACAGTGTTTTCTGCAGCCATAAGAACATCCCAGGGAGGTTGGTCCATGGACAAAGAAGAGTAGAATGCAGAAATCTTGGCTAAGGACATCAAGTCCCTAAAGGGGGAGGAGGTAGGGGGATCCGAAGTGGGAGGCAGGGACTTCCCTGGTGGTCCAGTGGTTAGGCCTCTGTGCTTCCACTGCAGAAGATACAAGTTCCATCAGTGGTTGGGGAGCTGAGATTCCACATACTGCAAGATGTGGTCAGAAGGAAAAAACCAAAACTGGGAGGTAGAAGTTGAGGGCTTGTATAAAGTGGGGTGGGGATGGTCAGCGAATGATACGGACATTATGAAAGAAGAAAGAGATGTCTCCTTTACTGTCACAGCTTATTTGTCAAGGAATTAAAGCTGATAACATAATAGCTTAGGAAAGAGGGTTGGCAGGTGGACATTGCCCTGGGCCCACCCTCCTCACCCCCATCCTGAGCTGAGTCAGGAAGATGATCCTACTGGAGGTCACGGCACATTCTTCCAAGGCCTCCCAGGTATCCTCCGACTCTCACGGGTGCTTTGTGGGCTGAACGGTGGTCAGGATGTTGCTGATTTTGTGGTCTGTATTGCTGCTCACTAGGAGAGAGTAGGGGTAGATACTCAGTTATCACACAATCCAGAGAAAACAGATCCTCCCAAACCATAGGGGCAGGGATGTGTTCTGTGGTGTAGGGAAGGGCCACACAAGGCTTCTCCAGGGATGTTTTAAGCCAGCCATGAGCAAGGAGACATAAATATCAGATCTCCTGAAGTCTGGATGAATCAGGTAGGCCCACAAGCAGACAGCGGGGACTCAGATGAATGAAGAGGCAGGGGAGCCCAGGTTTGATTAGATATTGGAACTGGGAGGGGGAGGGGAGGCTGAGTCTCCTGCTGTCTGTCTCCCCACAATTTGGAATCCGTAGTCTTCTGGTTTTCCTTTTTTAAAAAACCTTTTGGCTATACCTTGGGGCAGGTGGGATCTTATTTCCCCGATCATGGATCGAACCCATGCCCCCTGTGATGGAAGCGCAGAGTCTTAACTACTGGACTGCCGGGGAAGCCCCAGGAGTCCATAGCCCTTGAGAACCAAATGGCAAGGCAAGGAAGGGTGCTTCTTAGACCCTACCGTTCAGCTTTAGAAGCATGCAGACACCTCCGCAGAAGGCACCGCAGCAGTAATGACCGAGCTGACACTCCGTGTGAAGCTTGCACTTGATGGTACACTGCTCATTAGTGGGGCTCTTGTTGCAGGGTTTCAGTTTCAGCTTTGGCTCAACTGAGAAGAAGTACATGAGGACTGAGTCCCAGAAGGAGAGTGTTCTCAGGATTATCAGCCCCTCCAAGACCCCAGGACCCACTCCACTCATTTCTCTTCTTCCTCTCCCTGCCCGGGGGTCTAGGTGGGCTTCCTAGTGCCCAGACCCAAGATCCTGCTCCCACCCCTTCCCCCAACAAACCCAGCCACCCTGAAGTCACCTCTGTGGAATTTAAACTCACAGAACCTGGGTCCTGAAACCCAAGTTTCAGAACAAAGAATCCCAAGAGATCTCCCAGTCTCCCACTCTTGTTTTACAGAGGGAGGGGAACCGGGTCCCAGAGCAGAGACTCCACTGTTCCACCTCTGGTGGAAATGGCCCTACACACCTAGTTCTTCCCTAGAAACATCTATCACTAGTTATTCACCACTCTTCTCCCCTCAATTCTATTGATTTCAATTTTTTTACACCAGTGGTTCTAAATTTCTCTTCATGAAACAGAACTTTTTTACTAGCCTTTAGTCTTGGAATAGCTAGGCTTGTTTTCCTCTCAATCTATCTTTTATTTATTTTTTCATTGGAGTGTAATTGCTTTACAGTCTTATGTCAGCTTCTGCCATATAACAGTGTGAATCAGTTATATGTGAACATATGTCTCCTCCCTCTTGAGCCTCCCTGTCACTTCCCCCCAGTTCCACCCCTCTGGGTCATCACAGAGCACCACCTTGAACTGCCTGTGCTATACAACAGCTTCCCACTAAGTATCTGTTTTACACATGGTACTATATTTATGTCAATGCTATTCTTTCAATCCACCCCACCTTCTCATTCCCCTGCTGTGTCCACAAGTTCCTTCTCTATGTCTGCATCCCTATTCCTGCCTTGCAACTAGGATCATCAGTACCACTTTCCTAGATGAGCTTGTGTTTTATTTCTCCTCTCCATACCCAATGTTCTGAAATACTCAGATCTGTAAACAAAGAGCATATTTCAAGAAATTGTTACCAGTCCTTTTCCAGTTTGCTGCTCATCCTTGAAACTCCTGAGAACATGAACTCCTGGTAGCTCAAGCTAAGCTCTAGACCCCGTGGAACTTTTCACTGCTAAGTGCCCTCCTGGACAAAAACTCTATGTACACACATTTTTTTTAAATCACATTACTTGTAACATCAGAAGACACTCAAGATGAGAACAAAACATTCAGCTTTCCTCTAGTATCCTGACTTTAAAAAAGAACCAGTGCTTCTATTACAGACCCTAGTTCTTCTCTGCAATTGGACCAAGAAAGGTCCTTTTGTTTCCTATTCTTTCTTCATCTTGAAGCCCAGCCCGGATACCTACCGTACGGTGGAAGTTCAAAGGAAGAATCTACTTTTTCTTTCCAGCTTCCTGAAACTGGCAGGATTGCCACACCAGAGAGCATCAGCAGCTGGAGACCCAACAACTTCATGATGCTGAGCCTGGACATGTGAAGGTGAGCCTGGCAGGAGAGCCAGCACTTGGGCCAGGTTCTGCAGGGGCTCAAGAAGAGTTTCAGGGTGGGGAGTTGGGAGACCACGTGACTGTCTCTCAGTGCCCCGTCTGGTTCTTCCTCCTCTCCGTCTTCAGCCACCACTCCTGGGCTGGGCGTTGATGTCTCATGAAGCTCTTGCCTTCTCTTATACGTTATATACTCCTCTCATTGTAGAACTGGATTCTTTGTACTTTATTAATTTTTATTTCAGCAATTTTAAAAACACAGAAAAGTATGAAGAAGAGTAAGGAGGTATTATCAGTTGGTTATCCATTACCTAGATATAGATAGATACTAGGGCTTTTTATCTTTCATAAAATAGAGCTGTAAACTCCCAAATTTCAAAAATTGTAATCCTATGATATTTAAATATGTGTATGTATAACTGAATCACTTTGCTTTACAGTGATTTACAACATTGTAAATCAACTATGAAGTCAAGTGAAGTGAAAGTTGCTCAGTCATGTCCAACTCTTTGCGATATAGTCCATGGAATTCTCCAGGCCAGAATACTGGAGTGAGTAGCCTTTCCCTTCTCCAGGGGATCTTCCCAACCCAGGGATTGAACCCAGGTCTTCCACATTGCAGGTGGATTCTTTACCAGCTGAGTCACAAGAGATTTTAAATAAAACTTAGTTCATTAATCCCCAAAACACTTGCACCTGTTTGTAAGTATTTTACTGACAAAAATCAGGCCCTAGTTTCATGGTGAGAGAGTCTGACGAAAAAAAAGGAATTGCAGAAATAATGATTGCAATAGGGATCTCCCTGGTGGTCCAGTGGCTGAGACTCCATGCTCCCAATGCAGGGGGACCCATGTTCAATCCCTGGTCGGGGAACTACATTTCACATGCTGAAACTAAAGATCTTGCATGCTGCAACTAAGACCAGCTGCAGCCAAATAAATATATTTTTAAAATATAGTGGTGAAAAATAAAAATAAAAAATAAAATATAGTGGTGATTGAATTAATGATTAATATTTCAAAAACAAGACAACCACAGTGCCATTTTTACTATTAAGGCCTTGCAGTTATTCCTCCCCAAATTTTAAGGCATAGCCTATTCCATTCCCCTCTAGTTTTGCTATGCTTTGAATTTTCTTACTCTGGCTTAACTTTTTAATCTGCCTGAATTTTATACTTGGTTGAGGGGGATATCTGACATCTTGCTCAGTCCTTGTGGATCATGTGGCGACCTTAAAAATGGAGGCATTACGACAAGGACAGTGGACCAAAAGGAGCCTGGATCTTCTAAAGTTTTGTGGTAGAGGATCTTGTTCTGGATACCTAAATCCTGAATCTTGTGCCTGAAAAACAATTAACATCTCTTATTTAAGCCACCATTTTCTCCTCTGTCACTGTGAACCTGTAGTTGAAAATCCAAAATGATACCCGAGCCAAACTATATATTAAGATAAAGTTAGAACGAAGGCATGAAAGCTCTCAAATTTTTTAATTTACTTCATTTAATTAGTTCTCAAACAATCTCTCTGAGGAAGCCCCTGTCGGGTATATATATTACCAAAATGAGGTTGTTAAGAAAGAGAAGTGGGGTCTAGGAAACAGGATCTCTAAGCCAGGAGAAAGTAAAATACCACTATGATGGTGAAGGGAGATCCCCAGGGGTGCTCCACAGCGGGGACCCCAGAGCCCCACTCCTGAGGGGTGTTGCCCCAAGCCCCTGGCCCATTGCCCCTTTTCATTGTTCTGAGCTTTAAGGCACTAGCCAGTGTGCTAAGTCGCCTCAGTCGTGTCCGACTCTTTGCAGCCCTACGGACTACAGCCTGCCAGGCTTCTCTGTCCATGGGATTCTCCAGGCAAGACTGCTACCGTTGGTTGCCATTTCCTTCTCCGGTGATCTTCCTGACTGAGGGATTGAACTCAGGTCTCTTGAATTGCAGGTGGATCCTTTACCGTCTGAGCCTCCAGGGAAGTCCAACAGCAGAGGGGATCAAGGGTGCTTGCTCCTGGGACCAGAGATATATGGAGGCCAGGGTCTTAGGTCTTATTTCAGGAGTCTGGCTTTTCATAAATAGGCAGGTGAGAGTCTGTCGTGTGTTCACTAAATCCATTTTCCTATTCTTATTGGGCATACAGCTAGACTATAATTCTTCTTCTTTTTTGCCAATAGGTGGGACCACATTATGGCAAATAGAATATTGGAGAGAAATAATAAACTTCACTTCTAGGCCTGGCCCTTAAAAGCCTTCCATGTGAGCCTGCATCCTAGTTTTCTTCTCCCACCTGCCAGCTGGATGCAGAAGCAGCCCTAGGAGATGATGGAGCTGTAGATGGGAGGAGCCAGGGTCCTTGAATCTTGACATGGGTCATTCATTGATCACCCTGATGTATTATGAATAAGGATAAAATTTACTGTGCTGACCACATAAGTTTTTTAAATTATTTTTTAAACTTACTTGTTTATTTCTCACTGAGCTGGATCTTCGTTGCTGCAAACAGGAGCTACTCTCTAGTTGCACTGTGCAGGCTTCTCATTGTGGTGGTTCCTCTTGTTGCAGAGCACATGCTCTAAGGCCTGCGGGTTTCAGTAGTTGCAGCATGCAAGATCTAGAGCACGTGGCCCCACAAGATTTTTATAAACTCTGTTTTTTTGCTACAACCATGAGCATGCCGGACTAACACATGGGTCTAATTGAAAGGCAGAGTTGAGTGCCTGTGCCCATGATGGGATGGGAACACCTTTGGGGGCTGTTGAGGGTTATAATGAAAGAAATTAAGTCATAGGGATAAAGTACCAACAAACACAGAACACTCAAGTTGGTGGATCATTTTATTTGGTAAAGACGTGAGCCTTCTCAAGATTGAAAGGTCAAGGAAGAACAGAGATCCTCAGATGGAGCGAGTGGGTATCCCAACAGAGAACCAGGCAGCCCTCTTCTTGACCACATAGCCTCCAGCCCACACTAGTTGGGAGGAGGTCAGCTAGAAACTAGGATTTTATCATGAATTTAAAAGGTTCCCTGGAAGAGAAAAGTTAAGTGGTTAAAAGTCACAGAATTCTGAGGGGCATCCATTCCCAAACTTAACTGCACCCTTAGTCCCAGTTAATGGAAACAGGAAGTCTTCCTAGAAGATCAGGAGTTACCTGCTTTTAGTCAATTTCTTTCAAGAGATTTGCCAGTTGAGCAGACAAGTGAAGACCTGGTCTCCTTGGGCCTGGCTAAGAAAAGGGGCCAACGGAGAGGCCAGATTGAGGCAATAATTGGAATCTTGGACAAGGGAACGATGAACAAATTGATGGGTGATGTTGCAGGGAATTGAATGAGATTGAAAAAATGTGTGGCTGGCCCCCATGCTGGTCTCTTGGTTTACTTTGCAGTGAGCGGCAGCCTAGGTGTGGAGGCAGGAGGACGTTGCCTTATGCTGCTTGTTTCTTTGACCAGGGTTTGGGTGATGATGTCTTCTGTCCCAGGTCACACCTTCTGAACTAGGGCTAGCAGCAGAAAGGAAGCATCCCCATGCCAACCTTCCCACCCCAAGCAACTCACTCATTGTCCAGGCAGATGTTTCCGCAGTAAGTCCAGCAGCATGTGTGATTTGGAAAGGAACATTCCCTTAATTTAGTGCATCTTTTTACACAATACCTTAATGATGGAGGCTGTACCCAGCACTGATCAGTATCTCTTAGTTCATCTGGAATCAAGAGGGTAGAAGTTGGCAGTGTCTATCCACCCACCACTTGGACAAGAAACCCTTTCTCAAGTTGAAATATCCCTGAGCTCTAAGCCACAAACTATTTTTCTGCCCTTGAAGAGAATCCCTTTGTGAATCCTAGCCAGTGGCTTTTTACAGAAGACCATCCTTATATGGCATGACTTCCCTCTTACCACATGTTCCCACAGCATTGCAGGGCTTCGGGTTCTGTCCAGGTTGCCTAAAGATGGGGACATCCTTCACTAGGACAACTCCAATACAGATACCACCACCTCACCAAGTCTGTTCCCATATAACTTTAGATTGCAAGGTCTGCAATAGTCTCTAGCTCAGATTTCCATACCCTATTTTCAGATTGGAAAACTGTGGGCTCAGACGGAAGCTGTGTTGGTCTTTCCTCCACCCAAGGTGGTCTGACATTGGCCACTATTGTAACCTGCTAGGTTATGGACTGTGGGCAAAAGCTACATTCCCTTTCCATGTACCCACTATGGCTTTCAGAGCTGGGAAAGGAAGCTTGAGGAGATGCCAGTTTGGGAACAGCCAACCTAATCTTTCTTGGACGTCTCTTGCTTGAAGGAGGACTATTTTCATTTAAAGGGTGATCCTAGAAATGTGGGCTCTAAATCAGTTATACCAGACACTCCAGACCTGGGCAAAGCACCCTCCTCCCTGGCCACACCACCTACAGGGAATTTTGTCCTTGAGGCCTCCCAGCGCAGGCAGAAACATCGCAAGCTCGTAGGTGAGAAGCACGAGGAGAAGAATCCAGGGCTTCATGGTCGTTTCTACGTGTGTTTGGGTTAGGTTTTGGCAGAAGGCAGGTCTTTTCCCAATGCTACTAGAGATAGACAGGAATTAAGGGGACAGGATAGGAAAGAAAGAGAAGTGCTTGTGAATATTTTATTGTTCTTCTCCTACTTTTCCTTTCCACCCGCTGGCGCCCAACAACACAGCAAACTAGCCAATGACTTCCCTGGACTTCTTCCCCATTCACGTTAGCTACCCCTTGCTTTATGAAATAACTTTTTTTTGTTAATGCATTGTTTTTTTCTGATCAAAAAGCGATCTATCTTCAGGTTGTATTGTTAAAACAAAAAACTACAAACAGGAGGGCTTCCCTGGTGGCTCAGTGGTATAAAGAATCCACCTGCCAATGTGGGAAACATGAGTTTGATCTCTGGTCTGGGAAGACCCCATGTGCCACAGAGCAACTCAGCATGTGTGCTGCAACTACTGACCTGTGCTCTGGATCCTGGGAGCTGAAACTACCGAGCCCCGGCGCTGCCACTGCTGAAGCCCAAGCACTAGAGCCTGTGCTCAGCAACAAGAGGAGCCGCTGGAACGAGACGCTCATGCACTGCAGCTAGAGAGCGGCCCCCACTCACCAAAACAAGAGAAAAGCCAGCACAGCAACCAAGACCCAGCACAGCAAATTAAAAAAAAAAGAGAGGAAATGGGTAATCACTATCCATTATTTCACCACCCAGAGATAACTGTATAATGTGTATGCTTTTATGCTGTGGTCATTATTTTACAAAATTGGAAAAATAAGAATACTTGAAATAATCTGATCTGTTAGTTAAGAACACAGGTAACCAGATGATAGAGTGGAAGTTTTAGTTGAGACCTTAAGACGGAGTGGATGAGATAGATGGCTCAGCAGGACTTGAGAAAAGTTGCTGACCAAACTGAGAAGCAAGACCTTCACACAACACTGTGAAGCAACTATACTCCAATAAAAATTAATAAAATTGTTAAAAACCGAAAAAAAAAATTTCATCTGCATAGATGATCCAAAGTTGAAGGAGTTATAAGAGAGGATGTTGTAGGATATCTCATTGGTCAAAAGCTTTGCCCAGAGAAGTAGACACGCTGTCTTCTAATTCCCAGTTGGGAGCATAAGCTCTGTGGATGTCGCTCCGAGTCTCCAGTATGTCCCCATCATTGGAGACTTGTATTCCAGTCATAACTGAAAACTCTGAAGAGCCAGGAATTTGTCTAAAGTGACCTGTAGCAGCAGAGAAGAGGGCTACAGTTTGAGAAGTGTCTGAATTGTAAATGGCCTGATGCCATTTTGTGCCTCCAGTAAACTCTTGAAATCACCCTTAAAAGGGGACCAAAAGCCCAATGCCAGCCAGTGATCACACCTACTGTGTAAGAACTTTCCCAACTCTCTTAGTGGTCCTTCCTCCCCCTAGTAGGAGCCAGAAACTTTTTTAAACCAATTGTGGACGGAGGAACAGAATCACAAAGAACCCAAGAGAAAGATGTTGGCCACATCCTCTTCCACAGCTGGAGCCTCTGAGAAAAAGGAGGATCCACAGTTCTAAACAATTTAGGAAGTCGTGGCTAATTTTGTGGGCCTGTACATTTTAATGATTAGGTTGAGAAAATGTTTTGTGACTAAAGTCACGGAAGTTGTGGGCAGCTACCAAAGTTTTCCTGAAGAAGCAAGGAAAAAATTAGCTGTTTCCTGAATAGAATAAAATCTATTCTGAATAAACAGATTCTGAATAAAATCTAACGGAACAGGGTGGGGGGGGGGGGACAAAAATAATATGATCACATCACACAAGTCATGCCAACAATACAATGATAAATATTATGATCATTCCCTGTGTCATGAAGAAAACAGGCAAAAATTCATACATTTGTAGAGTTGCCATTCTGGTTAAGTAAGAGAATAAGGAAATACATATTTGATAGTAAGCACTCAGGAGGAAACAAAGAGGCAGAAAAAAGATGAAATAGCCTGCTGACAACTGGCAGCCGAGGGGTGAAGGGAGTTGGGAGGTAGGCGGAGGAGACTTAATTAGAAGTCCCCGCCCTCTTCCATCTGCTTCCTTCATCCTTCATCTGCTGTCTTGCTCTCTTAAAACCAAACAGGAAGAAAAATGAAAGAATCTAAGAAAAGGGTAAAATTCTGATATCACGAATTACATAGTAACAAGGTAGAGGTTACAGGTTGTTTCTCTCCCTGAAAGTCTTTGTTTAGAAGTTTTCAATCCGGCAGGAGACTACACTGTCCAATATGGTAGCTACTGGCACCTATGACTATATAAATTAATTAAAGTGCAAGGTAAACAACAAAGTTTTACTGTATAGCTCAGGGAATTATACCCAGTATCTTGATGGAATATAACCATAAAAAACAAAACCTATGCAGCACACCTGAAACTAACACACTGTTATCAATCAACTATACGTCAATTAAAAATTAAACTTAAGTTTAGTTTCCAGGCATCTCAGGCTTCAATATCCACACGAAGCTAGTGGCTATTCTATCGGATAAGTTAGATGTAGAATATCTCCATCATCACAGAAAATTCTATGAAACCACACTCCTCGGAATGAAACAAAATGCCTTTGCTTAAAAGCAAGGCTAGTACTAGAGATCATTTAAAAGGTGTGGAATTTTTCAAAGGGATCTTTGAAAACTCATTGTCCACTCAGAATACGTGAAATTTGGAAGTTACAAAAATGTACATTTGAGGCATGTGAATCCCTAGATGCATTGACTCAGGCAAAATGCATTTAGGAGATTAGGAGAGACAGTAAAAGAAGGAGATTAATGAAAGAAGAGGAAAGAAAAAGCCCTTAAAAGGTAAAAGAGCTACTCCATTGGTGGTCCAGGGGTTAAGACACCACGCTTACAATACAGGGAGCATGGGTTGGATCCTGGTTGGGGAACTAAGATCTCACATGCCCCATGGCACAATCAAAAAACTGAAAAGGTAAAAGATCAGATGTCTGGGGGCTTCCACTCAGATGCTTATATATGCTCTCCAACCATGTCCATTCAGAACCCACATTCTTGCCAGCCTGCTTCAGCAGGGTATGGAGAAGGCAAATTGTGAAGTTCACCTACTGACGCATTGAGCATTGGGCAATATTTATACCAAAGCATACAACCTAACTGGTGAAGCTCCAAGCCAAAGGAGAACTCTCTTTAAGCACAGTGGGCTTCCAGAAATTCTGTAAATCACTCACATTTTTTTTGCACTGGAAAGCCAGCCAAGAGTGGTAAGATTCCCAGTCCTTGGGCCGGGCTCAGTGTTCTTCTGATCCTCCCAAGGCAGCCGCACATAGCAAGACAGATATGCAATGAGGATGCCCTGTTAACCACTCATAGGCAGGGGTGAGGCATAAGAGAACTGGGTGGAGTTGGGCATGGATGGGACAGGCCTCTGGATTCTTTTTTTTTTTTTTAGGCCTCTGGATTCTTGACACCCCTGCCTTTTGCACACAGAAGGAGGAAGACAGACACAATAAATTCAAAGCAATGGGTTCTATGAAGCTGTTTATTTGTATTCAAAAATAGCATTCTAGACGAAAGTTTGCCAGAGCTTTGAGATCTGTTCATTTAAAGAGCCTCATTCTTCATCCTGTTCTCTGAGCTTCTCACTTGTCCCTAGAGGGCTTGTTCAGGATCGTGGGGATGCCCAGTCCCCTTCTTTGCACACCACAGGTGTACTAAATGATCCCAGGGAGGGAAAATATCATCCCATCCAGGCTGGATACCACTCACATACGGAGATCTGGGCGAATCTTTTGGCCCTGATGACATAGGGTGTGTGGCAATGATATGGTCTCTAGGCATCACAAAGACGCAAAACTACTGCCCCCTCCTCCAAATTCAGGGTCCTGGGCTTTCTAGATGTTAAAGGACAGAACAGGGCTTTCTAGTCAGGGATACTGTCATCTTGTTTAATCTCTGCTCCTTTTACCGAGAGCACTTCAGACAGTCCCCATGCCCTCTCTATCAACTGTCTTATTCGTACTTCAGGCAATAATCCCCATTTAACAGAAAGAGTGTTGACATTACTGGGCAGGAAACTCACCTGAGCAAGCCACAAACAAAAGCTCACACCTCAAAACCCTTACTTCCACCTACCTCTGAATGTATCTGAATGGAGTGTCTGCAGTAACAGGCTGAATTTTTTATCTGGCTTATTCCTACTGGGAGAGTTGCGGGGTGGGGTGGGGGGTGGTGGCAGGGGGTTGTGGTCTGGAACAGGGAGCAGAAGAGGAGAAAAAGTCAGTTCAAAGGCTGGGAACTTAAAGGTGATTTTGGTTGCAGCCCATCTTTCATTCCCACTCAGGAACATACAGGTCACATTGCAGCCTCTTTGATATTCACCCATCCAGAAGTCCTGGATTTTCTTTGATATGAGAAGTGTCTCCTGCTAAGCCAGGAAGAACACTATGTACCTACTCACTTTCTCACCCACAAATTCCAGCTGCCTTACTTTAAAAGAAAAGGAAAAAGAAAAAAACAGGACTTTTGAATAAAAGTGTTCAACAGGACATTGTCCAGACAATCAGTAATTAATGTAATACAGATGCTTGACAATAGGCATTTATGTTAAGTGAGGGCTGTGCAATTATGAGAAACCACGTTTTGTGAAATATTTACATGATTCATTGAGAGTGGAGAGGATGGGTAACAAAAGTTACCCGTGATGATTCAAAATGTGAGAAGACAAAGAATTGTACATAGTAAATATGCAAAGAAACTACAAAGACAGTATAACAGGGCTTATGTTAATTCCAGGCAGTGAGATGATCATCTTTTTTAACACTCTTTGTCTCTTTTCTTATAAATTATTTTGTAATTCGAAAATAGAAATAGATTACATCTTCAAAAAAAAAAAAAAAAAACACTTCTGTTCACAAAAGAGAAAGATTAGCTATGAGAGGAGGACCGTCCCTGTAGGAGCCCCAGGGTCACAGGAGTGGGCCGTGGTGAGGGGCAGGCCAGGGCAGGAAACAAGGGCTCCTTGCTCTGCCCCGGCTTGGCCAGGGGAGGCAGCGAGGAGCCCAGGATCACCTCCCCTTCCTTCCCTTCCCTCTCCCCACTCAGCTGTCCAGGGGAGTCCGGGCCAGACGGAGCGCTCACCACTCCGGCCAGAGTCATGAGAACCCAGGCTCTGCTGTCCATCCTGCTCCTCTGCGTCCTGCTGCTGCAGGCCCGGGGAGGGCAACGCAGCCAGAGGATGAGCCGTAGGTGATGGGGGGCGGGGGGGAGAGGTGACGTGTCCAGTCTAAGGAGAACCTGGGAATTAGAACTTTCTGAAACATCCTATTTGGACCACGGCACTATGAAGACTCTGGTTCTTCCCAAACCACGGTCCTCCAGTCTCTTTATCTGGCTCTGGGAAGAGTGATGGGGGTGGAGGGGGAAACTGCATCTTTTCATTCCCCATCCCCCAAATCCAGAGACATGTGGTACCTACAACAGGGCAAGATACACCTGAGTGAGAATCAGGTGGGAAAACAAACAACTGTTCTTTGGTTTATGCACACAGCTAACGGCTAAATATACCAAGATGTTCAAGGGAGTAGATGTAGAGTGAAAAACCTCCAGAGGGCAACATTTGGGATGTACAGGTCAAGTTACAGCTACCTCCGAGGGAGCAAGATGGGGCGAGTGGAAGGGAAACGCTGAGGGTGCTGTGTGGCTGGAAAATGGCAGGGATCGTGCAGACAGTGGCTGCATGAGAGGAGGGAGGTTGAAGGGGCAAGTTCACCTTCCTCTCTGGTCCCCGCAGATCGTGGAGAGTAGGGGAGAGTTAGCAGGTCACCCTCACCTTTGTGGAGTTCTCAGGGTTCGGGTGCAGGTTCTATGGAGGTGATTTGGCCAAGGCCATGACTAGTATGGGAGACGGAGTCCTGTTGCAGGATTATGGAGAGAGTCCAGAACTCCAGGCATCGAGGTCTATTAGGAAAGAGGAGGAGGAGTGGGATTTAAGATACTACCCATCACCAGGATCTGGTGAAGGGTGGAGGTAAGTTCCCTGAAAAGTTCAAGAGTCATGAGTGGGCCTGTGTCTGGGGTCTTGCAGGAGGCTTTAAGCTTTCGAGAGGTATTCTGGGGGGCCTGGTTCCACTGACCTTTCCTCTGCTCTGTTTCAGAAAAGCAGCCACCCCCAGAAATCAAGCAGTGTGAGAAAAGACCCAAAATATATCTGTGCACAATCCCCTGCACAGATCACCGAGAATGTCAAGCAAATAACATATGCTGCTCAACCTTCTGCGGGAATGTTTGTATGAACATCCTATGAGTCAGAGAGCAGGGGGCCAGGCATCCTGCCCCCGCCAACCATCTCCATCCTGCCCCCGCCAACCATCTCCGCAGACACTGTGCCTGCAGCTGAAGACAAGGACCTGACTCTGGACACAGGATGTAACAGGAACGCCACCCTGTCCAGCCAGTATCTGAACAACCTGTACCTGTCAAATAAACCAGAACAAATGTGGAAGGACCTGCCTGGCTCACTCCCGGTGTCTGTGATCATGGAGGACCCAGCACAGACCCCAGAGGGCTCCCCCTTTCTGGGTCCAGGTCTTTGATTTCTCTCCCCTTGTCAAGCTTCTCTGCTCCCCCTCCCCACCTCCCTCCTGCATCCCTGCCAGGCCCCTGCGAGCCCAGCCCCCATGTTCCTCTGCTCACTGAACCAGGACTCCCAGGGGGAGGACCCGCTCGTGTGTGGCACCTCCTAGTCCTCAGGAGAACATGCCTCGCCTGGAGCCACAAAGGGCCAAGTTCAACATGAGATGCCAGGAGGCTAGACCCTGGGGCACAGAGGGGGAGGTCCCCGAGAAGGACTCTTCATAAACTTGGTCCACCCCCATCCCATCCTGCTCATCGTCCTTGAGAGGTTCAGGTCACTGTCTCTTTGCAACAAAGAAAATGAATCCCAAGGAAGTGAGAGGACACGTCCAAGGTCAAAGCAGAGGAAGAAGTCGTGGGCTGCTTGGAGGAGGAGGTTTCCTCCGTGCTCCCTTCTGCGCCTCCCAGTGAGATGGTCCGCAGGGACTGAGTCCTGTGCTGTCCCTGCTCCAGCACCAGTGACAGGCTGCTCGTGGAGTGGGGCCCGGCCTGCGACCCCTGAGACCCCAGCCCCTTCCTTTAACTGCGTGAGCCCAACCTTTCCTTGTGGCCTCATCTTTCTTCTTTTTTTAATCTGGAGGGAGGAACAGTTGGTTCAGGGTGATGTGGCTAGGATTAACTGGCCTTGGGTCTTGCCACTGATTTCATGGTGAGTCAGTAGAAATTCACCCCTGGGGTCCAGAGTCCCTGCTACTCTGTGCAGTCACCCCTCCTCTGATGTGGTCCTGGGACTAAGTCCAGAGACCCAGGCACGTGTGTCCAGCTGGGACATGGGGTCAATTGTGAAGCACTCGGGAGGGCAGGCCCTGCTGGAGGCGGGGATGTGGTGTTATGCTCCAGGCCAGTGGTTCCTGCTGAGCATCAGTGAAGAAGACAGGGCATGCCTCCATTGGCCCAGAGCCTCTGACCCATCTCAGGAGCATCACAGGGCTTCTGGTACTGGAGGGTGTCCTCCACTTCCTCTAAGAGCTGCCCTTGGATAGGGGGGCCCTAGGAAAGAGATCATAATCATAGGTGCCAGGCTGACCTCTTCCTTTCCACAGTCTACCCTGCCCTAGAGAACTCAGAGGCTATACCTAGAATGTTATAGGTAGGAGGAGTGCTTGCCTGGACACCAGAGCTTTTTCTGGTTTTATTGAAATAATTGTGTGCATCTTTATTACATAAAAAGGAAGAGTGGGGGGGTCCCTTGGAAGACCTTGAAATTTATGGAGGCAAAGGAAGAAACAAATGCAGATTCTGCTTTGATTTGGGTCTCTGAAAGATCAAGTCCCAGCCTGCAGAGAATTGCAAGTCAGAGCTGATCTGTTTTGAGCCAACCCATCGCCTCATGGTTGCAACGACTTTTGCTTGACTTGTTCTCATCTCCTGCTCTTCTCTATGTCAAGCATATGAAAGGACTCTAGAAGTATCCTCCTCATCTCATACATCATAATGGTGGTCAGCTCCTGCCTGCTCCATGCTTTGACTGCCCCCAGTGTTCACAGGTGGGTTCATAATGATGCCTTCATCAGCAAGTGTACTCCATCCCACCTCTCATAGCTCTCTGTGTCATAAGCAGACTCAGAATGCCTAATTAAGAAGCTCCAGGAAGATATCTGGAATGCAGACATTGGGGTTAGGTGCCGGGTGCAAGATTTACCACCAAGAAATGCTCATCAGCCCAAGTCTATTGGTTCCTTGAACCATTCCAGGAAGATTTTCTTTCCAGAAGGAGATGTTCTTAAGTCTAAAATAACATTATCTAGGAGTGTGCGTGCATGCATGCTTAGTCACTTCAGTTGTGTCCGACTCTTTGAGACCGTATCTACTGTAGCCCACCAGGCTCCTCTGTCCCTGGGATTCTCCAGGCAAGAATACTGGAGTGGGTTGTCATTTCCTTCTCCAGGGGATCTTTCTGACTCAGGGATCAAACCCGTGTCTCCTGCATTGGCAGGCGAGTTCTTTACCACTGAGCCACCAGGGAAGGCCCTGTGTGTGTATATATAGGGTTGACCAAAAAGTTCATTCGGGTTTGTCCATAAGATCTTACAGAAAAACCCAAGTGAACTTTTTGACCAACTATATATATATATATATATATATATATAGCTGAACATGAGTTCATCTTGATATCTCTGATTTTAATCCAGTAACCCAGGGTTCATCCTAGCATTTTCTTTTTGCTTATTTCCAACTTCTCTCACAGAAACCTGGCTCTTATCTACCAGTTACTTACCTGTTCAATCTTTCATACCTGTAAAATAGTTTTAGAATTGTTTACCCACATCCTGTGAAAAACAAATTCACCAGAGACCTGCTGTCTGAAAAACTGAAAGAAACGGCTGCTTGCCAGTTTCCCACATTAAAATGGCATGCGAGAAATAAGCTTCTGTTCTTGAAGTCCATGATTTAGCCTGTTAGTTCTAAGGTAATCAAATGGGGAAGCAAGATTTGGAAGAGTTGGAAACTTACGTACACACTATAACAATAGAGGGGAGTGTGATAATGGCATCCAAGGGTAGTGGAATGGAGTGGGAAAAAAGTCAAGGACCGCTGCTGGCATATGAGTTTATTTGCTTTCAGTCAGAATGAACTGGTGTCTCAGTGGGAGGGTAGAATTTTAGCTTCTTCAGTGATTAGCTGCAAAAGAAAAAGGTTAGATGCTTAGAGGCTCTGGAAATCTGGGAAGCAAGAATTCATTCCCGAGCTTAACATTATTCATCTTCACCAGACCTTGGAACAAGAATACTTCATGTAACAACAGGAATTGTCCACTTCTGATTTGGAGGAGGGGATGGTATTAGTTCACTGAATAGACGAAGGTAGAAATATGGGACCTGGCTAAACTAAAATGGTTCATGGAAAAGTCTGACTATGGATGCTATGGCTAGAAATCTGGACTAAAAAATAGAAAAACACCAAGCTGTTGAAATATAGAATGAAGACATCACAGGCATTAATTATATATTGAAAGAAACAGGTGCCCCAAGCTGGTATCTTGGTCTATTTGCCAGTGAATTGGCTTTCAGGTTTAGGGGACATGGTCTTTTGCTACATTTGTGCCTAGGATTTGGGATCCCTCTGTTTAGGGATAACAGCATCTGAGAAGAAGGTGAGAATCAGTGATGACACACACCCAAGTGTGCACCTCCAAACTCACTGTATTTTCCCAGCAGATGTTTCCACAGTAGGTCCAGCAGCATGTGTGATTTATTTTTACACATCTAAAGCTTCTAGAACACCTCTTGCTACAGTCTCGGATGGTTGGCTGTCCCCAGCACTCCTCAAGGAACAATTCCCCCCTGAAAATGAGATGAGATGATAAGACATTGGTGGGGCCATATAGATAAGTGTGGGGAGAAAAGTCCTTCATAAGCTTAACAGCTTATGTTAAGCTAGAGGGCCCCTCTAGGGGCCCCTCCTAGAATCCTGGCCCCAAGTCCCCACCAAAGTACCTATCTTCTAAGAAAAATCCCCTTCGTTAGCCTCCTCATTGTATTCACTGACCCCATCGCATCTTCACTAACCTCTTAGACTTCTCTGCTCCCCAAGTCCTATAGTGTTGCAGACTTCTGGGTCCTCTTTGAGCATCCTAGAGATAGGACTCCGTATATTCCCAGCATTCATATGCCCTCCTATAAAATTTGCATCTTTATAACGGGGGATCTCAGAGTCTGAGATAACCTCTACCCTCGTTATCACACCTATTTCATAGCATGGGAAACTAGACCAGGTAGAGTAAGGAATAGATTTGCCTCACTTTCTTCCCCTCCTTGCTGACCCTGCCTTTAATGTAACTCAGCCTCAGGACTTCTCTGGTGGTCCAGTGGTTAAGAATCCGCCTTCCAATGCAGGGAACATGGGTTTGATCCCTGGTTGGGGAACTAAGATCCCACATACTTCAGGGCAACTAAATCTGCATGCCACAACTGGAGGAAAAAAAAAATCATCCTGTTAAAAAAAAAAGTGAAGTAATTCAGCCTCTCTCCAAATTCTCTCTTTCATCTCATCTTCTGGGCCCCCTCTATTGATTTCATTTTCTCATCATATGGCCCCCAACATTGCTCCACTAAAGACCCATCTCATGTCTCTTTTCCATCTTTTTGCATTCTGAAATATCCTACCAATGGGTTGGCTTTAACTCAAGCAGTCGTTCCATTGCATTGGACTTCTGAAATATCCTTCCACTAAATTAAGGGTATATATCAAGAAATGCCATTTGGTAATCATCAATGTGTCCACAGTTAGAACACAGCACTTCTGGAAGAATGGGAAAATATGGTAGCTCTGGACTGGTACCCCCTCTCCTCTGAGATAGCCTGACATGGGAAAATATCATATCCTTATAATTTATGGAATGTATCTAAAAGCTGACAGATACTCATTGATACTTTTAAGGTTGGAAGAAGAAACATTGAAGGATCTCAGCTTGGGAATTTCTTGGATCTCTGTCTATTGAAAAGTATCTATACACAAATGCTCCAACAGGCGATCCAGGGAAGTGAGTCCTGGGTCAGATGCATTAGGCACAATACTTCTTCATTTGTCCAGAAATAAGCACAGCCCCGTCATGCCCTTTTGATCCTCAATCCAGCCTCATCACCTGTTATATCTTTCCTTCACTCCTCCCAGCACAGACAGTAGAAACATACAGAGGAACATCATGAGGAGAGGTGTCCAGAACTTCATGATGCTGACCATATATATATATACAGGTCTGAATAGGTGTTATCAGGAGTTCTTTCCGTCCCAGTTGCTGCTAGAGATCAAAAGACACAAATAAAAGAGCTGGGAAGCAAGAGGAAATTCTCATGGAATTTCTTTACACTCTGTCCTCTAATTATTCTTCCTTGCCTTCCACAACCCAACCACAGGTATAAACCAATTCTGGATGTTGACTTTGCTAAAAGGTATCTCTCCATCTCAAGTTTCATGCCTTCCTTTTGCAGGAAAACCTTTTTTTTTTTTTAATGTGCTATCTTCCCTTGATTAAAAAATAGCTCAAGGGATTCCTGGTAGTCCAGTGGTTACGAATCTGCCTGCCAACACAGGGGACACGGGTTCGATTCCTGCTCTGGGGAGATCCCACATGCTGCAGGGCAATTAAGCCCATATGCCACAACTACTGAGCCACCACTCTAGAGCTTAAGTGCCACAACTACTGAAGTCTACATGCCTAGAGCAAGTGCTCCCCAACAAGAGAAGCCACCATGCTGAGAAGCCCACACACTGCAACTAGAGAAAGCCAGCACACAGCAGCGAAGACCAAATGCAGTGAAATAAATAAATAAATCTTTAAAATAATGATAATTCAAATTTAGCTTACAAAACAAGCTTCATGCCTTCCTTTTGCAAGAAAATCTTTTTTTTTTTTTTTTTGCACGTGTGTGTTATTTTCCCTTGATTAAAAAAATGACTCAGGGTCTTCCCCGGTGGTCCAGTGGTTAGGAATCAGCCTTCCAATGCAGGGAACTTGGGTTTGATCCCTGGTCAGGAAACTAACTCACATAGCACAACTAGAGAGCCCATAAACTGCAAAAAAAGATGAGCGTGGTGCAACTGAGACCCAACACCGAATAAATAAATAGAATATTTTTTAAAAGAAAAAAAAAAAGAAAAAAAGAAAGTGAGTGGTCAGGGAAAGATATCACAGTAAACTAGCTGTAAAAGAGATGGATTCAGCCAGATCAAGACAACCACAAGTGAGCAACTCCCATCAGTTGGGTGGGGGAAAACTCAAGCCATGAAACCATCCATGACAGTCAACTTGAAGCAGTACTAAGTCCAGAAAGTACAAACTTCAAGAGTGCAACACTGCCCGCCAGAAAGAGCTGTCCTGACTCCTTTATTCTTGCTCCCACCTCCAAAATGGCTCTTAGCTACCTTCGGGAATAGAGGAAAGAGAGAGGAAACTGCCTACTCTCTTTCTAGGTGTGGAGGGAACAACCATTTTAATTCAAGCTTAGTGTTTCAGCTGTTGCAACCCAAGCAACAAATGTTTCAACCCAAGCCCAACTATTGCTTGGGCTTAGACTTTTTTCTAAATTTATTATATTATATTTTGAAAAATCTAATAATATGTTATTGGCATATAATATATTATATTTTAAGTTTAAGCAGTGACTAGAAAACTCTAGTTCTATACCCAAGCTCTCATACAGAACCAGGAAATGAAGTAGCTCTTCTGGATATATTTAAATGGGACAAAGGACAAGACTTTCAACATATTACTAGTAACATTCCCAATTAATATTGATGTTTTGTGTACCAGTAACACAGATCATTGGAGAAGGCAATGGCAACCCACTCCAGTACTCTTGCCTGGAAAATCCCATGGACGGAGGAGCCTTGTAGGCTGCAGTCCATGGGATCGCAAAGAGTCGGACATGACTGAGCGACTTCACTTTCACTTTTCACTTTCATGCGTTGGAGAAGGAAATGGCAGCCCACTCCAGTGTTCTTGCCTGGAGAATCCCAGGGACGGCGGAGCCTGGTGGGCTGCCGTCTATGGGGTCGCACAGAGTCGGACACGACTGAAGCGACTTAGCAGCAGCAGCAGCAACACAGATCATTAATATTTTCCCATGGATCATAAGACTTCTGAAAATTTGTGACTTCTCTTCCTTAGGGGGTAAAAATATCATTGGAAACCCCCTTGCAACTGAAATTTGGTTAAATGCATTTGTAGATGTGGAGGTCCTTGGACAAAGGATACTGCCTGTTTGTGTGATTCTCAAACACAGACTCACAGACTTGGAGAAGGAACTTATGGTTACCAGCGGGGAATAGCTAGGGAGTTTGGGATTGACAGATACACACTGCTATATTTAAAGTGGAAGAACTTCCCTGGGGGTCCAGTGTTTAAGATCCCTCGATTCCAGTGCAGAGGGGCGCAGGTTGGATCCCCAGGCTGGGAACTAAGACCCCGTTTGCCCCACACACCTCATTCTGTGGCCAGAGATTGTTTTTTTTAATTTTTAAAAATTAAAACTGATAACCAACAAGGACCTACTGTATAGCACAGGGAACTCTGCTCAATATTATGCAACAATGGGAAAAGAATTTGAAAAAGCATTTTTAAAAAATAAAAGAGAGGTAGGATGAATTTGGAGATTGGGATTGATAAATATACTAATATATATACAGATACATGTATAAATGTATAAAACAGATGACTAAGGAGACCCTACTGAAAAGTACAAGGCACTCTACTCCAGGCTCTGTGGTGACCTAAATGATCTGAATGGAATAAAGAGCTGTATATATATATATATATATATATATATATATATATATATATATATAGCTGATGTACTTTGATGAACAGAAGAAACTAACGCAACATTGTAAAGCGACTATACCTCAAATTTTTTTAAGTACAATTTAATGTTATCAATAACAGCTGCGGTTTCTCATACCCTTAAAGAGTTAGACATAAAGGAACCTAGAGACACATAACTCTAAAATGTTTAATTATATTTTAAAAATTGGTTTATTTTACCAACAGGATATACATCCTGTCTTATCACTAGGAGGGAAATTCTCTCCCACTTGACACCACACTGAAAACTGTCAGTGTGGTATAGACAGTAAATTCCTGTGACTCTCTGTCTCTGGAGTCAGAGATTCAAAGTCCTGTGAATTCCCAACCCCAACATGCCTCATTTAATATAAGCTATGTGTTTGGCTAATCATCTAATTTCTCAAAGACTCAGTTTCCCTGGATGTATTATTCTTGGGCTCCAAAATCACTGTAGATGGTGACTGCAGCCATGAAGTTAAAAGATGTTTTCTCCTTGGAGGAAAAGCTAGACAGCAATAGACAGCAATAGACAAACCTAGACAGCATATTAAAAAGCAGAGACATCACTTTGCTTACAAAGGTCTGTATAGTCAAAGCTATGGCTTTTCCAGTAAATGGATGTGAGAGTTGGACCATAAAGAAGGCTGAGCGTGAAAAACTGATGCTTTTGAACTGTGGTGTTGGAGAAGACTCTTGAGAGTCCCTTGGACTGACAAAGGGATCAAAAGAGTTAATCCTAAAGGAAATCAATCTTGAATGTTCATTGGAAGGACTCATGCTGAAGTTGAAGCTTCAATAGTTTGGCTACCTGATGCAAAGAGCTGACTCATTGGAAAAGATCCAAGGCAGGAGGAGAAGGAGATGACAGAGGATGAGATGGTTGGATGGCATCACCGACACAATGGACATGAGTTTGAGCTAGCTCCGGGAGATGGTGAAGGACCAGGAAGCCTGGCATGCTTCTGTGGGGTTGCAAAGAGTCTGACACGACTGAGCGACTGAACAATATATGGATGATATATCTACATAGCAAGCGTTGACTGTTTGAAGCACTAGCAAAAAAATCTAAGTTTTAAAAATTAAAAAATAAAGCCTCTTGGCATATGTTACAAATTATAAAATAGGAAAAGACAGAAAATTTGAGGGATTTCCCTGGTGGTCCAGTGGCAGACTTTGCCTTCTGATGCAAAGGGGTTTGGATTCAGTCCCTGGTTGTGGAGCTAGATCCCACAGGCCTTGTGGCCAAAAAATCAAAACATAAATAAAAGAAGCAATATTGTAACAAATTCAATAAAAATACTTTTAAAAAATGGTCCACATCAAAAAAAATCTGTTAGAAAATAATAAAATAAAAATTGAGGCACATAGACTGTTAGCTGGGTTGCCTTTAACTTCTAAAAATCTGTTATTTGGAAATGATTTCAAAATTACAAGAGTAAGGCTAGTCAAAGAACTTCTACATACTATTTACTCAGATTCACCTATTTTAAGAATTTACCCCTAATTGCTTTCTCTCTCTCTAGCATGTGTGTGTGTGTGTGTGTGTGTGTGTGTGTGTGTGTATATATATATATATATATATATATATATATATATATATATATATGGCTGAACCATTTGAGGGTAAGTAGATACATTATTGGAGAAGGCAATGGCACCCCACTCCAGTACTCTTGCCTGGAAAATCCCATGGATGGAGGAGCCTGGTAGACTGCAGTCCATGAGGTCACTAAGAGTCGGACACGACTGAGCGACTTCACTTTCACTTTTTTCTTTCATGCGCTGGAGAAGGAAATGGCAACCCACTCCAGTGTTCTTGCCTGGAGAATCCCAGGGACTGGGGAGCCTGGTGGGCTGCCGTCTATGGGGTCGCACAGAGTCGGACATGACTGAAGTGACTTAGCAGCAGCAGCAGATAAATAATGGTCCTTTTTTAGGAATAATACTTCATTGAGTATTAACAGTAGGAACATTCTCTTCTGTGATCACAGTACAACTCTCAGCTTCATTAAAATTAACATTTCTAAAATCTTTTAATTGAATCTACCATCAGTATCCCACTGTGTAAATTCACCCAACAATGCCCTTTGTCTTTTATGAGGTTGAAATTTTTGACGACGCTAAACAATTTTTTCTTTTAATTAAACATTCCTCATGTGGGGTTTGTTTCTAATTTCTTCATGATAGGTGCAGGTCACACGTTCTCCCTGAGACTACTCTGAAGACAATACATAATGGCCTATGTATTGCAGAAAATACATAATGTCCTGTGTATTGTAGACTGTACATAGTGACACGGTGTCCATCTGTCTCATCTTTCTCTTACTTTCCCCATTTGAACATCAAGGACGATTACTTCTTTTCTAGAGGGATAGTGTTGTTTTAATCTGGGAGCATG